GTGGTGAGATTGTGGATATCTCCCCTACTCCCAGTGGCTCCTGACACTATCAACAATCATGTGAAGACCTGTCGGGAAGAGCAGAAAAATCTACACTTCTTTGCGCCGGAGTATGGAGGTAAGGCATCCATCCTGACTTGTTTGCCCTGTCCTTTGTACCTGCTCACTCTCTCACGCTCTCGCGTGCTCGCTCGCTCTCTCTCTCTCTCTCTCTCTCTCTCTCTCTCTCTCTCTCTTACACACACTCTCTCTCTCCCCCCCCCTCCCTCCCTCCCCCTCCCTCTCCCTCTCCCTCTCCCTCCACACACACACACACACACACACACACACATTTTTTTTTTTTACAGTCCCTCAGGCAGATTGTGCCCCTCCACCTACCCCCTCCCTGATGGCTCACTCTGCAGCTATTGCCTACCCTAGCATCCCTTCCCAGAGCCACCCCAGACCTTGGTTTTATACCATCTAACCTGAGATAGAGGGGTTAATACAACTGAAACTTCTAGTCTTTCTGTATTTGCATACCTTGTATTTTTTTTTAAAAAAACATGTCTGCTACTCCTTAGTAGAGTTTCTGTTTTACTTAGCCATCTCTGTTTTCTCTAGAAGTCACTAATGTGACAACAGCAGTGGACATCTACTCCTTTGGCATGTGTGCACTGGAGGTGAGATCAGAGGAAGGTGAAAAGGGGAAAGCATGAAATTAGAACACACGGGAAATGGAGAGAGGGCAAAGAAAATGCTGGTCATGAGGGAGTGATTGTGGGAGCACTGGGGTTCTTAGTTCTCACCTTTTCCTCACTGCAGATGGCAGTTCTGGAGATTCAGGGCAATGGAGAGTCCTCATATGTGCCACAGGAAGCCATCAGCAGTGCCATCCAGCTTCTAGAAGACTCATTACAGAGGGTAAGGGCCTTCAGGATTGCTCCCTCCTTAACCAACTTTGAAATGCTTTATGTTTATCTTTACATACTCTTTTTTTAAGAGGAAAAGAATAAAAGCTGGCTTTTTGGTCCATAAGTTCCAGGCCAGCTGGAGCTACAGGGAGACCCATTTCAAAACATGAAAAATAAAAGATAGGAATAAAAATAGGAAAGACTAAACTAAAATTTCTCTAGGAGAAATCTTTTTTTATATAGGCATGCAGGCTAGAGGGTTTAATGGATAATATTGAGGTTAGAAGTTGTTAGGCTGGGAATGGTGCCACATGCTTTAATCCCAGTACCCAGGAGGCTCAGGAGGCAGCAGCAGGTGGATCTGTGTGAGTTCAAGGCCAGCCCAGCTTGGTCTACATAGTGAGTTCCAGGCCAGGTGAGGCTACCAGGAGACCCTTTCTAAAAAACAAAACAAAACAAAACAAAAACAAAGTTGTTAGTTGAACTGTGTCTCCACAGAGGTAAGATGATTTGATGGTTACCTTAGTCAATTGCTATACACTCTTACACAACTATCTTGGCATTTTAAATCAATTTAAATTAAACCAGTTTGGGATTTTATATTTAATGAGCTAAGATTTAAAGGATGTAAGAATTATGAATCACTAGACGGGTGTGGTGGCGCACGCCTTTTATTCCAGTACTTGAGAGGCTGAGGCAGGCAGAACTCTATGAGTTCAAGGCCAGCCTGGTCTACATAATGAGTTCCAGGACAGCTGGGGCTACAAGGAGACCCTGTCTCAAAAAAGACCCCCCCCCAAAAAAAAGAATCAGGAGGTAGACTTAAACTACAGTGAGACAGAAGGTTCAAACAAGAACAGTTAACTCAGGTCAGGCATGGTGGCATACACCTGTAATCCTATCACTTGGGAGGTGGAGGTATAGGCATCAGGAGTTCAAGGTCCTTCTCACCTACATAGAGAGTTCAAGGACAACATGGGCCGAGTGAGATCCTGTCTCAAAAGCAAAGCCAACAGGGGCTGGAGAGATGGCTCAGCAAGTAAGAGCACCAGCTGCTCTGCAGAGAACCATTCGCAGCACCTACCTTGCATCTAACAATTGTCTATAACTCATCCAATGCCCTCTTCTGACCTTCACAGGGATTGCATGACATGGGTACACTTACATGCAGGTAATACACTTATACACAGAAAAAAGAAAATTAAAAAAACAACAAAAGAACAACAGAATGAAAAAGGAACAGTTAATGTATTAGAGAAGTATAATGGGGAGCAGGAGAGAACAGAGGGTCTAGTGGAAGAAGACACATTAGGGTGGGATATTCAGATGAAAGATCAGGTATGTAACTTTTTTGGTCTTTAAGACTGAAAGTAAACCGGGCATGTGAAAGTAAGCCATTCGTGGTAGCCCACACCTTTAATCCCAGCACTTGAGAGGCTGAGGCAGGCAGATCTCTATGAGTTCAAGGCCAGCCTGGTCTACATAGTGAGCTCCAGGCCAGTTGAGTTATAGGGAGACCCTGTCTCAAACAAACAAACAAACAAAACCCTGAAAGTAAGAAAGCAGGTTAATTGCCCTGGGACTTACCAGGTGTAGAAAGGGAGGCAGAATAGTTAGAGTAAGCTTGGGAAATAGACTGAATTCAGGGATTGCAGATAATGAATAACTTTATACAATACCTTATATTTTAAGCCCTTTTAGGAAATGTTTCCCCAATAAGTGCTGAGTTCCTAGTAAGTACAGTACATGTTGTTAAAAGTAATGAGAGCATTAAGATGAAAACAGCTGAGGGCTTGTCAAGTGCCTGCTCCAGTTTCTCCTTCTCTTATAGGAGTTCATTCAAAAGTGCCTGCAGTCTGAACCTGCTTGCAGACCAACAGCCAGAGAACTTCTGTTCCACCCAGCATTGTTTGAAGTGCCCTCACTCAAACTTCTTGCTGCTCACTGTATTGTAGGACACCAACGTGAGTCCTCTAGACCCTGATGAGAATTTTCTTGAACTGGGAACTGAATTCAGGGCCTTTCATATGCTAGGCAAGGAATACTAGGAGTGTTTTCCAACTTGGGGCTTCTACTATTGGCATGCTATCTTTCCTCTTCTGTTACCAAAAGGGATTCTTTACCCTTGTGCCTGTATGCCTAGTGTTAAACTAATCTATCTCTACATAACATCATTTCACTCTGTCATACCCTCCAGACATGATCCCAGAGAATGCTTTGGAGGAGATCACCAAAAACATGGACACCAGTGCCGTACTGGCTGAAATCCCTGCAGGACCAGGAAGAGAACCAGTTCAGACTTTGTGAGTAACCAGCAGAGGGGATATGAAAGGACAGATTGGTCACTACCACCCTGAGGTTCTGGAGAATGCTCATCTGGGAGAAATTACCATTTTGTTTCCTTCTTTCCATCTTTTCCAGATACTCTCAGTCACCAGCCCTGGAATTAGATAAATTCCTTGAAGATGTCAGGTGAGAGTGGGCTTCTGTGAGAAAGCAAGGCAGGTGAGACCTTCACAGAGCCCATGTGACTTATCATTTCTCTCCAGGAATGGAATCTACCCTCTGACAGCTTTTGGGTTGCCTCGGCCTCAGCAGCCACAGCAGGAGGAGGTGACATCACCTGTTGTGCCCCCCTCTGTCAAGACTCCAACACCTGAGCCAGCTGAAGTGGAGACCCGTAAGGTGGGGATTGTGTGGTATGAGTGCAGGTCTGTGATTATGGGGGCAGAACATCTCAGCTAAGAGCTTGTCCTTTGTAGAATGCATTTTGTTAATTAATTAATTTTTGGTCTTTTTGAGACAGGGTCTCCCTGTAGCCCCAGCTGTCCTGGACTCACTATGCAGACCAGGATGGCCTTGAACTCAGAGATCTGCCTGCCTCTGCCTCCCTAGTGCTGGGATTAAAGGTGTGCGCCACCACACCTGGTGCATTTATTATTGCCTGCATGTGTGTAAGTGCACCCATGTGCCCATGGAGGTCAGAAGAGGGCATTGGATACCCTGGAACTGGAGTTATGGACAGTTGTTAGCTGCCATGTGGGTGCTGGGAATTGAACCCTTGTCCTGTGCAAGAGCAGCCAGTGCTCTTAACTACTGAGCCATCTCCTGTCCCTGTGGACTGCATTTCTATTCTTGGCCACTATGTCCTGTGTGGGAGAAGGGCTTCCAGGTATTGGTATTTTTTACTGACAGGTGACCTTCCTCTGTCCTTTTCCAGGTGGTGCTGATGCAGTGCAACATTGAGTCAGTGGAAGAGGGAGTGAAACACCATGTAAGGCTCTGGGCCAGGGCTGAGCAGGGTTTGGTGGGGAAGAGAAGCCTCCTTTTTTGACTGTCCTTTTTAATTTTTCCTAGCTGACACTTTTGTTGAAGCTGGAGGACAAACTGAACCGGCACCTGAGCTGTGACCTGATGCCAAGTGAGTGTCACCTTTTGTTTGGAGGATGGTGGGTCTGTGAGCATTATTACCCTTTGAGAAGAACAATGGGTGGGGAAAGTGACTGGGCAGTAACACATTGATTCACTCAGGCTGACTCTCTTAGCCCCTGATATTGGGGGATGGATGGGATAATTTAAAGGGCTCCTGTCTCCCCCACTGTGCTCACTCACCCCTCCTGCTTCTCTGTCAGATGAGAACATCCCTGAGTTGGCAGCTGAGCTGGTGCAGCTGGGCTTCATTAGTGAGGTGAGGTTCCTGCCTTCTGTGTGCTGCCTCCCTGCCTTCTCTTCTCTCAGCCCTATCTCACTGAGCTCATTCCCCAGGCTGACCAGAGCCGCCTGACGTCTCTGCTCGAGGAGACCCTGAACAAGTTCAATTTTGCCAGGAACAGCAACCTGAACTCGGCCGCTGTCACCGTTTCCTCGTAGAGCTCACTTGGGCCAGGCCCCTATCTGAGCTGTGGCTGTCCCTGGACGTGCTGCAGCCCTCCTGTCCCTTCCCCCCAGTCAGTATTACCCTGTGAAGCCCCTTTCCCCCCTTATTATTCAGGAGGGCTTTGGGGGCTCCCTGGTTGAGCATCATCCTGCCCCTTCCCCTTTTCCCCTCTGCACTTTGTTTACTTGTTTTGCACAGACGTGGGCCTGGGCCTTCTCAGCAGCCGCCTTCTAGCCGGGGCTAGTAGCTGACCTGCTGGCTCTGCCCTGCCTGTGTGGACAGCAGGCCCACGGGCACTGGGGGAGCGGAGTTCCACAATCCCGCTGGGGCAGATGGGCGGGAGAGAAAGGTGGTGCTGCAGTGGTGGCCCGGGCGGGGGGGGGGGGGCATTCGATTCGCCTCAGTTGCTGCTGTAATAAAGTCTACTTTTTGCTAAAAGCTCGCGTGGTCGTGTATTTGCGCCCGTTTTGGCGCAGCGACTTCCCGAGGGGACGGGCGGGCCCTCGTGGGGTTCCAGTAGAGGCCCGCCTCAGGTGGGCGGGGCCCAGGTGGAGCTCCTGGTAGGGGCTGGGGCGGGCCCAGGTGGAGCTGCCTCCGGGCGACGTGAAGGCCGGGTCGGCGTCGGGGCGGGGCCGGCTGCAGGTAGAGCTGGAGGGCCGCAGCGGCTGCGGGGGCGGTGCGGCCTACCATGAGGTGCAGCCGCGTCTGCGTTTTCGGTAACTTTGGCGGGCTTCCCGTCTCTCTCCGTGGCCCCTCGGCTCGCCCGTACCACGCGCCGTGGCTGGCCCTGCGCGCTGCCTGGCGCCCGCTGGCCTCCCACCCTGCCCTGCTCACGACTTGCTCCCCCTGCTTTGCAGACGCCGCCCGGGGGCCCAGGCAGCTGATGCGCGTGGGCCTCGCGCTGATCCTGGTGGGCCATGTGAATCTGCTGGTGGGAGCTGTGCTGCACGGTACTGTCCTGCGGCACGTGGCCAACCCCCGTGGCGCCGTCACACCAGAGTACACCACCGCCAATATCATCTCCGTGGGCTCCGGGCTGCTGGTGAGCACGGCAGGCGTGTGGGGTGGGTAGTCGCGCCAAGACCCAGTGGACCATAGACATGATGATGTCTTCCCCAGAGTATTTCCGTGGGACTTCTGGCCCTCTTGGCATCCAGGAACCTTCTTCGCCCACGACTGGTGAGAGGGGCAGGGGGGCTGTCTCAGCTCTTTCAATGGGCAGGAGGCTTAAATAGAGAAACTGAGGTGTCTAAGTCTCCAGGAGACTTAGCCAGGCCCAGTCTATTCACTGGATTCTACCCCACCAGCACTGGGCCCTGCTGGCACTGGCTCTAGGGAACCTGCTCTTGTCTGCTGCCTGCTCCATGGGCCTCCTGTTTGCTGTGTCACTCACTGTTGCCAATGGTGGGCGCCGTCTTATTGCTGACTGCCATCCAGGACTGCTGGATCCTTCCATACCTTTGGACCAGGGGCCTGGACACACTGACTGCCCCTTTGACCCCACAAGAATCTATGTGAGCATATTCTTGCTGTTCATAGCCTTGTCCCTGACCTTTCATTTGCTGGATTTTCTACTCTTGTCCTATTCCCTCTTAGTTCTCTTTGTTCCTTTTAGGATACAGCCTTGGCTCTCTGGATCCCTTCTCTGCTCATGTCCGCAGCTGAGGCTGCCCTATCTGGCTACTGCTGTGTGGCTGCACTCACCCTACGTGGATTTGAGCCCTGCAAGAAGGAAGGGTTTCAGGAACAGGTAAAGAAGAGGAACAGGAAAGGTTCACAACCCAAACTGGTTACATTGGAAAGGAACTGGTGTGTCATTCAAGGCAGGGGTACTGAATACACCCTCTTCTGCAGTTAGAGGAACTGAGAGAGCTTGAACCTCCTGAATGTAAAAGACAGGAAAACATACAGTTACTGGATCATCATCAGAATTTACAGACTTCACAGAAAACCTGGGTTTAGGACAGGTGCCCAGAGGGGCCTGGGTAAGCTGGGACAGGGAAGCATTCTTGGGACCTGGGACTGAGGCTAGTTCTTTGCTTTGTTGCTTGCTCTCTGATCCAGGTTGTTTTTCCTTTTATCAGGCAGGTGCTCTTCTGAGGCTCAATCAAGCAAGAGGCCCTGACACAGGATGATATAAATAATTGTAATAAAAGGACTTCTCAGCCAGGTGTGGTGGTGTACACCTTTAATCCCAGCAGAGGCAGATGATCTCTGTGAACTCAAGGCCAGCCTGGTCTGCAGAGCAAGTTCCAGGTCACCTTGGGCTACAGGAAGACCTGTCTCAAAAAACATACAAAAAACAAAAAGAATTTCTCTTGTCTTCTGCCTGGTAGTTACTTTAGAAGGCATGGTGTTGGTGCTGGAGAGGCTTGGATCAAAGAATGAAGTAGTCTCAGTTACTTACAGAACTTTAATGAGGGATAGATCTAAACTCTTCCTCAGTTGTATCAGTCACTGAAAAGAGAAGCTGGTGCTAGGGAGCCCGCCACACCACTGACTGATGAATTTCAACACATCCTGGCACACTGGGCTGTGGGAGGTCTGCAAGCAAAGGGGAAGGAACACAAGGAATCATTGGGGTTATCATGAGGCCACCAGCTCCATTGGGGTGTCATGAGCAGGCTGAGGGTCTGTACCTACCCATTCTTATAGTCCCCCCCGACCCCCATACTGTTCTTTCTGCGCTTGTCCTTCAAGACTCCCTCTCTAACCTTGATGGCCATAAGAAACTTGTTCCAGTTATCCTTGTTTGCCGCCTTTCCTGGCCGCTTAAATTCTATTTTGTTCCTCAGAACGGGGTAACCTGTAAGGAAAGAGGAAAGGATGAGCTGGAGTTTTCAAGACAATGGGAACAGCAGCAGGGGTGGGGGATTAGGGGGGTCAGGGTTGTGTGTGCGTGTATGTAGGACGGGGATGGTCCTGTCTTGTGCACCTTTTACTAAATTATTCTGAAGATTTTTTTGATGTTGCTGCTTTTCCTTCCTGTTTACCTGCTACACGATATGTGGTGCTGTGGGGTTCTATACCTGTAATGAGGCAGGGCAGTGCCCGAACTCCAGTACTCGCGGCTACTAGGGAAGCCTCATAGACACCACGCTCATCTCGAGGCAGAACCTGTTCCAGCTTCTGATCCATTGAGACTGTGAGTACCCAGTCTCGAACCTCTTCTCTCTGGGCCTCCTGGGAAGGACAGAGGTAGCAGTAGCTTCACACAGGCAGGGGCTTGCTAAGCCCTCATCTATACAATAGCTTTTAGCTATAAATGGTCCCCACCTTGGCTTGAAGGACAGTTACTGCCTCTTATTTTCCCTGAAGGAGTAGTGAGGGCTGATATCCTTCCAAAGATAGTAGCCATCCAAAGCCATCCTCCCTTCTCAGTGAGGTCCTAAGGCCTTACCATTCTCCAACCCTGCATCCTTACCGGTACATGCTGCTTAGCTGGGAGTGGCACCTCAAAGGGAATATCTGTATCTTGAAAATCTGAGTGGTCAAGGGCATCCAGAGTCCCTTCTTCAATTGCCTGTGGCAGAGTGTAACTGAGCTAGGCACAGCTTGTGACAAGCACAGCCTCCTGACACCTGGCACAGTTTCTCTACTTACTTCAGTCAGATCCAAAAACCGGTTGAGGAAAATGAAAGCCATGTTCTCCCAGCCAACTGCCTGTAGCAGAGAAAAGTTGCAAATGGGAGTGAGCAAGTGAGCTTGGATGTGACTTCTCCAGGTATCAGGAGGAATACTCTAGGCAGATGGAGAACTGTGTCTTCCATGTATGAAGGCACATCAGCCCCATACCCAGCTTTACTCAAGGGAGTCTCCATCTTCCCACTTTAGATTTCCTTGTTTCTTCAGCCCCACCCCGCCTGTCCCAGCTCACCTTGGCAGCAGTTCCTGCTTCATAGAAGGCTTTGTCTGCTGGTAGTAGCTGGGTGTGGCGCAAGAGTGAAACAGAGAGCCTGGCAGCTACGATTTCCTGTGCATTAAAGACAAAGTTTTATGATCCTGGTACTAGACCAATGAACCTGTAACTAAGGCAGCCAAACTACAAAACCAGCAGTCAGTATTGCACTGCTATAGCTCTCAAGCTGTTCTGGTCTTAGTTCTTTTTAACAGCACAGCATAACTGGGCCTAGATTATGTATAGGGCTCCTTCCACTTCTAGAATTATGTACAGGCTAGGCTCAAACTCAAGGGAGCTGTCCTGCCTCAGTCTCCCAAGCAACAGGATTACAGGTATGCGCCAACACACCTTTTTTTTTTTTTTTTGAGATAGGGTCTCACTGTAGCCCCAACTGGCCTGGAACTCTCTAGGGTAGACCAGTTTGGCCTTGATCTCACAGAGTCTGCCTGCCTGTGCTGGACTCAAAGGCATGCACTAGACACACCCTAGCATATGATTTGAATGTTTCAACATAATGAGGTTGGTAGAGCTGTGGGTGCAGTATGGGAAGAAACTTCCATCCAGTAAAGGTCAAAGACCGATTTAGAAGAAAAGCTAAAAGGGGGAATGGGGAGGTCCAAGAGCCTAAGCTTGAGAATTCAGAACTTGGATTCATTCAGCTTCATAGGTCTGAAGATGCAGCCTTATGACAGAGTGAGTGCTCTGTATCAAATCTCCCCAACTATATCTTACCAGCTGCTTAATGCTCTGGGCTGCAGAGCGTGTGGCATAGTAATGAGCGACCAGCAGCATCATCTCAAATTCCTCATGAGCTGCAGAGTTTGCCTCACTGGACTTCACCATGTTTTCACACTAGAGAAAGGAGAAAGCAAAACTAAGCTCAGAGGTCACAGATAGGCCAGGGCTGTAGAGTGCTTACTGGTGGCCACTTGGACAGAGGAGAATAAAGGTTTAAGTGTACTAAGAGACTAGGACAGGGACAGGTAACCTTTTATTTTGTTATTGACCCTCCTTCTGTACCAAGTTGAAGAGGACATCCCGAAGGTCAGCCCAGCTGTGGTAGGCCTCAGCATTGTTGGTTCCGGGAGAGCTAACCATATCCATGAAGATCCTTTTGTAGATGTTGAAGTTCTAGAGGTAGAGGGGGAAGGGTATATGAGTAAGGGGTATAGCAGAAGACAAAGTGGGAGAAAGGAGAAACAGCAAGTGCAGAGAGAATATGAATGTGTAGGAGCTAAGGACCATGATGGAAGAAGAGGACCTATTGGCAGGACCAGGAAGTTCAAGGTTAGCCTTGGCTCTAGGCTGGCCTGAGCTACACTTGATTCTATCTGGAAAAACAAAAACAACACCCTTGGGGCTGGAGAGATGGTTCCGCAATTAAGAGCACTTAATGATCTTCTAGTGGACCTGGATTCAGTTCCCAGGCAGCCACATGGCAGCTAACAACCATTCATAAGTTCGAGGGGATCTGGCACCTGTTCTGGCCTTTAGGGGCATTGCATGCATGTGGTATACTTACATACTCATAAAATTAAAAAAAAAAAAAAAAAAAAAAAAAGCTAGGTGTGGTGGTGCATGCCTTTAATCCCAGCACCGGAGGCAAAGGCCAGCTGGGGCTACAGGGAGACCCTGCTTCAAAAAAGAAAAAACAAAACAAAAAACCACCTTTCATATAGCTGGTGTCCAGTGAGTGTGGAAAAATGTATGAATGTGAACATAGCCACAATGTTGATAGCCTAATTACTCCAGACATGTGCAATTCTCCCATAGGAGAGCAGTGTTAATTTTCTGGAAGTCAGCAAAAGGCTTAGAGGGGTGTGTACAGGATTCCTCTTGCAAAGACAGATCCCTGTGTATCAGCTAGGAGCATGAGCAGCAGCTTGAGGGTTTCTTCAAAGGGAAACCCTTAAGAGAGGCTGCATGTTTCAGGACAGGCTCAGAGGAGATCCTGAGCATATTCTCTAAGGACAGGATTCTTTAAGAAGACTGTTTCTGATAAGATGGCTGGTTCTAGAGGATGAAGGATGAATGCTGTGGTAGAAACATTCATCTCAAGAAGGCTGGTACCTGTGGGTTAGCAGGGGCTCCATGTTGCACATAGAGGGCCAGTGCCTGGGCATAGCCACCCTCCCGGATCAGGTGAGTTGCATACAAAGCCACATACTTGTGCAAAAGCTTGTAATTCTGTTTTGGGGTAGAAAAAAAGCATGGGCAAGGTTGGGATCAAGACAACCAGGCAGTTAAGGGTAGGACCAGAGGGCCATGGATTTGTTTAGGAGGCAAAGGGATCTGCAGTTCTGATCTCAGTTTCAGAGTGCAGAAGACTGCTCTCTGATGCTCTTTATAGAGACCTCTGCAGATTGGGCTTTGGTGAAGTTACGAGATGGTGGAAGCTCTGGAGCAAGCAGGGAATCAAGGGAAAGGGTAAAGAGCTGAGTGGGAAACAGACAGCAGTACCTGCTTGGTAGCGGTTTCAATGCACTTATCCCACTGACCCTGCTCCACATACAGGTCCAAAGCAGCTACCACATCCACACCCACCAGCTGTAGAACAATGAAAGAGTTCAGGGGGAGACAGATGAGAGGGGGAAGAGGGAGGGACTCTGGTACCTAAGAATTTGGCTTTTAATCTTGTCTTTGTTGTGCTGGGGACTGAAACCAGGGCACTGTATATACTAGGCGGAGAGCTCTACCACTTAGTTACAACCCCTGGCCTCTCCCTGTATCTGCCTCCTGCTAACTCTTAAGAGTCTTACCGAGTCCACTTTGCCCTGGTTCTTGAGGAAATCCTTATAATGCTGGTCCACATAGTCTTCATACCTGTGAAGATGTACAGAAATTGCTAACTTTGTGGTCCTGCAATGCCACACCTTCCCCATAAGAATTTTCCCCAATCTTTGAGAGAGTGTGTGTGCACACGCGTGTGCATAGAGTGCAGTGCCTGTGGAAGCCATAGGTGTGCTCCCCCCGCCCCCCGAGGTACACTTGTGAGCATCAGTTATGACATGAGTGCTAGGAACTGAACTTGGGTCATCTGGAAGAGCAGAATATGTTCTTAACCTCTGAGTCATTGCTCTAGTTCCCATCCCCCCTAATTTTTACAAAAGGAAGTAAAAAGAGACTGTTGCAGTGATTACCTGGGATCTAACTCCTTGGCTATACGCTTGGCCTTGTTCCACTCTTCACCCTCAATGAAAGCATCAATTGCTTCTTTGACAAGGTCCAGGTTCAGATAGAGTTCTGCAGCCTACACAGTGGATATCAAAGTGAAGAGTACCTTTCCGTTTGATGCCCTCGTCTTCCCCTTGGTGAACTCTCCCCTTTCTCCCAGAACATGGCCACACCTTTACACACCTGGGTG